CCAGGATCCATGTTGTGTCTTACCATTCCTTATCTCCCAAACTATTGTGAAATTTTTGAAACGAATTTAGTTCAATAGTAGACATTTTCGTCGATATAGACCACACAACGCACCCCGAAATCTCTACTGCCTGTGAGTGAAAAAACATTTTGTGTTTAAAATTTCGTTTTTTAAAATTTTTTCAAAATTATCAATTTTGCAAGTCATGTATCTCAAAGGTAGAGCAACGAAATAAAATATTTTTTTCTACCAATCGATAGCTTATGGAGTTCCCTAGAAATATTGTCTTGGGAGTTTTTGAATCTCATGCTTTCTTTATTTTATGCAAACTTTCTACGAATGGGCCAAAAATGACCCAAGGGGGTGTAAAGGGATAAACAAACTATTTTAAATCTCCCAACTTCAGAATCAAGTAAAGTAGATTTAAAATGTTGTCACTATTTGAGATTACTCCATTTATAATTAAATGAACACTTTTCTATGTTCACATATTTAAAATTGTTAACAGAAGTTGTCGTATGATATAGTGTCCGTAACTAAATAAACATATTTAAAAAACCAAGTTTCTTTTGTTAATTTTAGAGAGCGTTTTAACGATATACAAACAAAATTACATGGTTTAAATTTTAACGATCGTTATGTATTAAACGACGACAAAGATAATTATTATCCATTTAATTACGTTGATAATTATTTTAAATACGATGATACTTTACCTTTAAAACATCAGAGTGATGTACAAATAACTGAAAACGAGAAATCATTAACAAATACTATTGAATTAACGCACAAACCAGAAGTCGTTAAACAATTATCAGTACCATTTACCAGTCCTCGATCATCAGTTGCTTTTGCACAATTACCTACTTCAAACGATCAAGTATCCATATTAGATAAACGTCATGTTTCAGTTTATTTAAATCGTATTGAAAATCATACAGAAGTTATTCTTCCACCAGAACAACAACAGCAACAGTTTGATTGGATACATTTTTCCTTTCGTCCTCCATCTCCTCTCTCGTCTATATCACCCACATCGTCCACAATGTCTTACATGTATAATTCTGTTCCTCGACAACGAAATGTTCATTGGAATGAAAATAATAATTCTCTTAGAAGACTGAAACGTTCTGCCAGTCAATATAATACAAATAATTTAAATGAAAAAAATAATCATACAAAATATTCTTCTGAAACAACAATGACTGGTCAACGTATCTCACTTGCTGCTAGTTTACCATTTGATACAAGATTAAATATTCGTATACAAGCGGATCGTTCATCAAAATCACAACATCAAAATGAAAAAGATGATGATCCAAATCGTATCAAAGCCACGGCATCGATTGAATCATTAGATCCGGCTAATGAACATATTCATTTTTCAAATGTTAATAAATATTATCAACAACATTATTCAACGGTTGATAGTTCATCAACAGCCGAAGCAACAATGCATTTTTATCATCCAAATCGTCAAACACATAAGCAACAATATTATGGTGACAGTGATGATTTATATATTCATAAAATACCTAAAACAAGAAAAATATCATTGCCAATATCATTACCCATTGATAAACGAATGCGTTTGTATATACGAGATGGTGAAGTGTTAGCACGATGTTGATAGTATATTGAAAAGAAGAATATTCTTAATAGTCTTCCTGACGATCTAGAAGCGAATTATTTAGTATATACAGTACTATTCACTATCTTGTGATGACTGTCAAGCTATACGTTTCTCAGGTACTAAAAATTATAAAAATTGTGAGTAACAGAATCCTGATATTTCTGATAGATTAGATGAGGGTTTTCTTTTTGTAGTTGCTTTTTCTTTTTATAAATTTAAAATCATTTTTCTCATATGATACTTGCTTTTTCTTGCTTGTGTATTTTATACCTCGTCAATCAAACGTCCTCCTGAACGTTACTTTGTCTATTTAATTCTAATAAAAGATCTTTTACGAATTGATTCCATTTTTTGTATTTCGGAAGGAATATTATACATTTTTTCCATTTGTCAGGTATCATACTGTCAACATTGACGAAAGTAAATGTTGCATAAACCTTCAGTGCATCATTCATTCTCATTGTATAAAAAGAAAATGATAGGCTTCATCAAATACTACTCCATTAGATCACATATGAACTGCAAAACATACACTGAAAATAGAAATCATTGGATCTGTTTTGTATACTTTTAACTTTTATTTAGGAAAAACTTGCTGAAGTTAAACTGTTTCACGCTTAAATACAGAGAATTAAAATTCAATATCAAGACTATTTATCACCATGAAAGATTTAGTTTTAAGTATTAATTTGTAAATTAATAACTGATAAAAAATATGAGAAAATCTAATTTTTTATTTTCTAAAAACTATTCATTAGTATTCAATACAAATAGTACTCTAGATTATAGAACTATGCTTTTTAGGACTATATGATTGGGAGTCTAAATTTCCTATTTATAAATATTTTTGCTCTTCAATCACATACGTTCTAAGCACTGGCTAAGAAATAAAAGTTTTAAAAAATTCAGATTTTTCACGTCGTTTGGACGTTTTTCTTATAATAAACTTCTCGATCAAATTGACATTATATTAAAAATTCGATCACCAAACTTCATTGAGTCATTTTCGCAGTTCCAGGAAATTATCATATTGTGAGCAAACATACTGTTCTCCCATCTAGGTTGACTGATGACCACCTGTCTACTATTCGAATCACCTGTCATGTGGACCTAGAAGAAGCAAATATGAGATAATAGTAAAACATGAAGACATCCACAGACACTTACAGACGCCAACAGTCAGCACACAGACATTCGCAAGGACAGCACATAGGCATTCACAGACAACCAAAAGCAGCTGCACAGACATCCACTTCTACAGACGTCTACGAGATTACATAGACACGCAGAAAATTATCCAAACAGCCAAATTAACATACAGAAAGCACCCACAAACACCAAGGTCGTTAGAGAATTACATTTGTCCTTCACATTTATTGTATTGATATTTAACAAAGTTTCTGTCTGAGGACACAATATTGATCTTATTTAAATATGACTTGATGACCTGATGTTTAGAGGCGGAAATAAACAAAACTAAAAAGCATCTTTAGTTTTAATAATTTCTATCTCGACAAACTCTTTTTTTTAGAAATTATGACCGTTACCAAATGTTTTCTTTCCTTTTTCTGATTGTATATATGGTACCTATGATTGCTCTTAGTGTCTATGTCTATTTATGGGGGTGTCCCCAGACTGATTCGGTTGTCTGCTTAATTTAGTGGATGTCTGTCAGTGAGGAACAATATCCTAATCAGAATATATATCTCGATCGAGCTATATATTCCAATTGGGATATAAAAATGTATTCCGGTCGGTATATTTTTTTTTTGATATTCCGATCAGGCTATATTGCTATAGCCCGATCGGGATATCTGCTGGTTTGAATATCCCAATCGGAATATAGTTTCCTTACAGTAGGGCCGTAGTTTAAAAAGCCCAAAACTAGTTAATGTGGTGCTTGTAGTGCAAAGGTGATATAGAACATAACATATCAGCCGCTAGAACTTGAGCGATGAAAACGCTTTAGTATTTTTAAAACTTTATACTTTTGAAAGCAATTTACACGAAACCTTGTTTTGTAACAATGTTGTTTACTTCGTTGTGCGGACGACGAAACGAGGATGATTTTAACTGAACATTTCACTGGATGTCGCCGCCTTAAGAGTAAATGTCAAGATACTTCGACAAAGTGTTAAAATAGCTAGTAAAAAAAGTATTCTGGATCGGGATATGGAATACGAACCTCGAGAATTATTTAAAAAGAGGTTGCTGGTCGAAAAAAAGAATCTGATGCAGTTTTCTATGCTCTTCTCAGCGGTATGGTCAAAACTTTCCGCGAACATCATCATTCTTTCACTTATGAATTTTACTTTAAAAAATCGAATTTATATGCCGATTGAAATACATGTCTTTTGGCTATATCCTGATCGGGATATAGAGCATGAGACTCTACTGTCTATGCAGACACACTTTTTGAGTGTCTGTAATTTGACTGTTCGTGTCGCTGTCTGTTGGCGTCTGTAGATGTCCGTGGGTGTCTTCATGTTTTACTATTATCCGCAAAGTATGCATGGTATGAGATTTGATAATAAATCTGCAAATTGTAATATGGTGTAAAATTACTTTTAAATTACTGTCAAGTTAAATTCAATAATTTTTGAAATCAGAACCCACATTTTTCTTTGAGACTGGAACAAGTTCACTTTATGGGGAACTTAAGGCATCCAGATTTTGACTATTCCATCGTAAAGAGCATCACTTAAAACCTATAAATTGACAAAAGAAACTTGGCGGCAAACACTCGAAACCCACAAAAAATTCAATTTACTCTCATTAGTGCCTGAGGGGGACCAAAGGCACAAATTTTTGAGAAAATTTTTTTTCTGCTAAATATACAT